TTGGCAAATTGATCAGTCTTTTATTTCATTTTATCCCCCTACCTTATCTGTTACTGGCTCTTTGAGAAACATTCAACTTGAAACATTGGATCAAAGAATAGAGGCAACATGTCATAATGGCTGTAAAAAGTGTAGGAACATACACTTGTATGCTTCAACAGGAGTTCTAAAACGAACAGTTGCTGACAAACATGGAGAAAGTGCTACTCAGATTATAGGATAAACTGGCCCTGACCCTCCACGTTTTCATTCAGCTGGCAAATAAATATTTTAAATACAAAACAGCACTGACTCGTGCTCATTCTATCAATCCCAGTTCAAAACTGTAACCTCAGTCAAATTAATCAAATTAGCTAAAACCAGTTTATGAACTTGTATTAAATAATTCCCAACTAAGTAGTTCTCATGGAGAAGCGAGAAAATTGACCTCCCAAGAGAGTTTAAATCTCAACAATTTTCATTGTTCCACTTTTTATAGCCTTTTCCAATCTGAACACTCTTAAAGTCTAACAACATAAACAAATTAATGTATTGCACGGTGGGAAATCAGGCATAGATTTATGGAGAGGAGTCACAATCCAATTACTGTGTGACTGTGTGAGATGGAAGGTATGAGGCTAATTTCATTAATATTCTATCTTGGACTATTTACGGTACTGCATTGGCGGAATGAACTCAAGTATTCCTTACACATATCTTAACTGTCCTCCAGCTGGCACGTATACGCTTCATTAACCTTTGTCATTTTCAACCTTTTTGGCCTCATAATTTAAAGTTTCTCACACACACACACACACACACACACACACGCAGTTTCACTGGCTTAAATGTTACTTTACTACTTTAATTGTGCAAGTGTGGTTTCTTTACTTATTCAGTGCTGATGAGAAAAGTGTTATTGATAGGACTGCTATATTTCTAGGAAGCACTTAGATGACTGATCTTAATCACATTGTTTTTCAGAATGCTTTCGGTTATTTTTTATATTCCTAAATCCAAAAACAGGACATTTGATACCAAAAGTTATACTCAGGCCATTTTTGATTTTGCTTTGGGAGGAAACTAAAACTGAAAAAAAAACAAAAAAACAGTTAAAAAACATGATTAACAAATTACATTTAAACTTAAATAGCTTCTGCACCATATTTTCCTGGAACTGAACAAGATTATGCCACAGGAATCCGTTCCATATTGTAGCATCTGATCTTGAAAAGGTTTAATAAAATGTATATACATAGAAAAAGCATACTTGTTGCTTCAGAATGTAGCAATCTCCATATTTAGTCACCATGGTGTATGAATCTTTATATTTCAATGTATTTAAGTGGTATACACATTTCTGTATTAGGCCAAATAATATCATACTGTGCGTCTGTAACCCACCAGTGACCAACACAAACATCAGTACATTTGAAGTTGTCTACTATTCCAGCTGAGTTCCAGGGAGTGAGCACAACGTTAATTGGGATTTGTAGTTCAGACAGCGTTTGAGTGCATTTGATTGGATTGGTCAGCATGGGGCTCACGCATGTGGCATTATATCTGCCTTTTGTGATTGATGAACTGCTGTTTGTAGTAACTGCCATTACCCAAGTGAGTGCTGACAAATGACTCACTAGCATGACAGAGCAGAAACACTTTGCTGTATGCTGCCATACTGAGCAGGATATTGACTGTGAGAGGAGTGTGTATTATTTTTCTCACGGCTGTCTGATGATATAATAGGCTCACAGAGGTTGTCATGCCAAAGGCCATCTCTAGAGCGCATGTAAGCCTCTGTGTAGCGACTGAACTCCAGCACTAGCTCTTGTAGTGGCCTGTAATTGCTACATGTATTGCACTGACTGGAAACCACTAGACATCAGTAGGAACCATCACTAACTAAGTCTAAAGGCCTTGACACACCAAGCCGATTTCGGCCGTTGATCGATGTCTGGCCGTCGATGAGCGTCCTATCGCCTTACTCAGATTGGTTTCATCCCACCTGGACGCAATAATTATACGATTATAAGTCGCTATGTGAAACAGTATGTGAAACAGTCTGTGATGGACGAGAGTGAAAATGGAACGCACACGCTATTTGTTGTTTGTATGTATCATGCAGTCTGTCTTCCGGTTGCCTCTTTTGAATGACGAATACACACTACCGCCGCCTGCTGGTAAGGAGAGTTATTGCCACTCACGCATGCGCAGTGCGTACGTGCTACTTGGCCGTCGGCTGAAGTCTTTGCGGTGTGTTCCAGTGCGAATTTTTGGCCAAGACGCAGGAGACGTGAGGTGGGTCTGTCGGGACGTGTTCTTTGGTGTCAGTTTGGTGTGTCAGGGCCTTAAATACCATGACACACCATGACACATGTTCTGCACTCATTTGCTCTAGGTGTGGCAAAAAACGGAGGGAAGAAATGTTGTCGAACCATGCGTCCGTTCTTTGAAGTTGCACAGGAGTGAAAGATAGTGGAAAGGTTCATCACTGTAGGAACGAATAATACTTCCATACGAGCATATGCCTTGTGTAGTGCACATTATACAGAGGGAGATCACAGCGGCTCTCTAACAAACTCATTCTTTTGTTATTGTTTTTGATTTAAGGCCCCCTGTGGCAGAAAATTACATGTTTTGAGTTTAAATCTGATTGCCTTGAGGTTTAAATTGAAAACGAACTCCAAAAGACAAAAAACTCCCAAAAGAAAAATGAAATCTGACTATTAGCAAACTAGACAATACCATGGTAGAACTCAAATCACAAGGTGGCCACGCTCTTAAGCGTACTCTTTATTGTTCATTTGACTCTAAATTGGACCATAATGTACAAAATGACCATCGTGCCATTTAAGAAGACTCTTAGCTAGCTATTGAGACCATAAACTTATCAGGAAAAAGTTTACTGAGGTATACAATCTAGCAGAGGTGGGAGTAAGTCCTACATGTGCAAGTCATGAGCAAGTCTCAAGTCTTGACCTACAAGTATCAAGCAAGTCCCAAGTCACTGTGGTGAGAGTCAAGCAAGTCAAGTCAAGTCATTGCTCAGGTCAAGCAAGTCAAGTCAAGTCATTGCTCAGGTCAAGCAAGTCAAGTCAAGTCATTGCTCAGGTCAAGCGAGTCAAGTCAAGTCAAGTCATTGCTCAGGTCAAGTCAAGTCATTGCTCAGGTCAAGCGAGTCAAGTCAAGTCAAGTCAAGTCATACAACATTCTGATGAATAAGCTCAGTTTCCACATTTAAATCAGTTAAAAGACAGTGGTTATGAAAATGGATTCAACCCACACTATGATCTTCATTACATACACAGTTAATCATTTGAAATCTAATTTAGACCGATGACAATCATATTAGATTCATATTAACCCTAGAACTGCAGATAATATAGCTAGGACTCAAAAAGTCTGTTCAAAAAGGCAGAATTCCAGAAATCATATATGGCATTTGCCATTACACATATTTAATTGAAATGTCTGTTAACACTAGAACCGCCAACAGCGTCAGCGCCTACATAGATATCATTTTCAAATCATTTAATTTGTTCCTCTTCATAATTTCCTTATAAACTAAGTACGACGATTTAAAACTCACTTAATTGGGTTCATTTTGAAATTGCTTCAGTTTATCATCATAACAGATAAAAAAGTTCAGATTCATTTTACAATAAATCAAGGAATGATGCACTTCTACAAACAAAAACAACATCATTAAAACATTTAAACAAACTACTAAAAGTAGATGAACTACATTATTCAAAAGTTTACAGTCATCTCTCTCTCTCTCTCTCTCTCTCTCTCTCTCTCTCTCTCTCTCTCTCTCTCTCTCTCTCTCTCTCTCTCTCTCTCTCTCTCTCTCTCTCTCTCTCTATCTCTCTCTCTCTCTCTCTCTCTCTCTCTCTCTCTCTCTCTCTCTCATTTAAATAGAGAATGTAGTGAGATAATAACCCTGAAATATTAAAAGTGGTGGGGTGGGCCGAACAACGCCACTGGCTGTGGAAATTACACCCCTGGAGTGTGACCAACAATAAAAGATGCTGACCGGGCCTTTGTCTGTTATGAGCTGATTGCTAAACATCTATATGTTGCACCTTAGTCATCATGCATTTTTAATGGTGGTTACACCGTGGGGGAATGTTGGTTATAGACTTTACTCAGGAGCACATTTCCACAAGCGTCTCTGCTACTGTACACTCTCCTATTGACACGGTCCACTGATTCAATTATGTCCGCATCGGATATTACCTGGAGATTTCTATTTGAAATTGTGATTTTTCTTCCGTAGACCATGCGAGAATTGCATGAGAATTTGGCAAATATGTGGGACCTCTAACAAAAGAAAGAAGCTCATGGGAAATGAGTGCTTGCTAGGCCTGATTGAGCATAGGCAGAGAGAGAATGGAGAGAGACAAACAGCAGAAATGTGAATGATGAGGGGCCCACACAGAATAAAAAACGCACACACACATTTGCTACATGATTTACCACACTGATTATATCATCAAGCCTAACAGAAACAATGTATTATTTTATCTATGGAATCATCAGTTGAAGTCTTACTGTCAATGACATGTTACCCAGATGCTTATAAGCTGCCTCAGTTGCAATAATACGCTTTACATTACAAATATAATCAGCCTCTCTGTATTTTTCTTTTTTTACGACCGACTTTGCTTTGGTTAAAGAGCACATATTGTGCTCATTTTCAGGTTCAATATTGTATTTAGTGCCTCTACTGTGACATGTTTCCATGCTTTAATGTTCAAAAACGTTTTTATTTTCCTCATACTGCTTGTTGTGATTGGTCAACCGCTTAGAGATGTCCTGCCCCTAAGCCTATCATGAACAATGTGTTGTGGGGGTAGGTGTGTGTGGGAGAGAAACTCCCTTGGAAGGAACTTTGGGATTTTAGCCTTAGCATGCACTAAACCCAATGTAACACACTGCATGAGTGGGAAAAGGGAAAAAAAAGAATAAAAGCGCCTCTTTATTACTGAAAACTAATCTGTCCTTCTTCTTCTCTTCAGATCATGCTGCTGACTGATCCCGAGGTGGAGAGCAGTCTGCTGATCAGCTCTGATGAAGGAGCGACCTACCAGAAGTACCGCCTCAACTTCTACATCCTCAGCCTGCTCTTCCACCCCGAGCAGGAGGACTGGATCCTGGCTTACAGCCACGATCAAAAGGTTAGAGAGGTGTATTATGTAAGACAACAGAACAATGTAGCCTAAGAAAAGAAGAAACCAAGATATTTAGCTTTAGTGTCCTCTTCTCAGATATTTTATTTATAAGAAAACCTGCTTTTCATTAAACAAATTAGGCTGTAGGCGTATAGTTTCACACTTAAAGTATTAGCCTACAGAACAGTAATCCTGCTAGTATTCCCCAATTCAGAAAAATAACAGCAATCTGACTGTTATCGTTTTTTGTAACTGTGGGGGAATACAGTTACGTTTTTTTCTATCCTGATTACGTAATCCCGTTAGATGTAAATGTTACATGTCCATTTCTCCCAAAGCCTGTTGAAAGGGATCATAAGGAGCTGAGTGTTGATTCAGATGAGAAGAGATCCTGTTACACAAGAGAGTGACTCAAAGCACAGTCAGTTCATGAAGTCCATTTTGGAGAGAGTTGGAAACCCATGGATTGTATAATTCATGTTGAAAAAATACAGCCTAACAAAAACCTAACCTAACCTAAAAAAAGAAAAAAAAACCTAACCTAACAAAAAAAAGAAAAAAAACAACACACTTTTGACTTCTTAAGTCTACATTTTTGTATGTTTTACTTTTACAGGAGAATGTTTGTATTTATATAAAACAAAGCTTTTGGAATGACTCCTCTTTGACTTAAAATCTTGTTATTGAGTAAACATTTAAACCTGATGATTGGCTCGTCATTTTGAATTTCTGACCGAAAAGATTTCCACAGAATTATTTTGAGCCAGCATTTAAGAGGTAAAAAATCTCTGCGCTGGTGTTGCAGATGTGTTTCTTTGGAGTGAGTGTTCCCGCTGACTAGAAGAAAACACAACCCTTGGAGTTGCGCATCGCTCAAAAAAGTCGCCAACCGCTGCTCCCAAAGTAAAAAATGTTTCACCTTGACCTCGTTTACTGGTGACCTTTCGACACTCGACTAATCAGATGACACATGTATGTTGCGGCGCGAGCTACCTGGGGACCAGGGGCGGACTAGCCATTGGGAATACCGGGAGTTTCCCCGGTGGGCCGGTGCTGTGTGTGGGCCGGAGTGTAAGTGTTCCGGCCCAGCCCAGCCCAGTGGGGTGTGGCCCACTGGGCTGGGCCGTTTTGATAGGCTACCTTTGTTCCATCTATCAGTTTCAATTTCCCACATCAGGCCCGTAGCAGCTGTCACTGAGCAGTGAACGATCAGGAGTGAGTGACTGAGAGACCTAGCTGGCAGTTGGTTACAGATGGATAAACAAGCTCCAAAGCGTAAACGCGATTTTGTATAGTTTGTGTATACAGTATACAGTATTGTAGCGAGCCCTGGGTTCAGAGGGAGGGGCTTGCATAGGGGAGGGGAGGGGGGGGGGGGGGGTTGGCAGGGAAACGGGGTTCAGGGGGAGTGGCTGTACGGCTTTACCCGTAGGATAGAAAAGGGGGAAGTGACGTCTGACTCAGAGGTCGCGCGGCTGTGGAGAAGAACGTGTTGCCCACATTCTGTTACTGAGTTTAGGCTAGTTAGCTAGCAGGTTTATTGTTTTGGGTGCAGTCACTTTTGCCTCCACTTGCTGTTCAAATAAATGTTGAAAGAAAAAGTTAATCTGTTTACAGTTCTGTTTTATATGAGTGTTGAAGAAGAAGAAGCATTGGGAGGGATGAAACCCTCTTTAATGGTCACACATGCAGAGCACACAGCACACACAGTGAAATGTGTTCTCTGCATTTAACCCATCATAGTACCAGGAGTCTAGTACTAGGAGCAGTGGGCAGCTATTGTACAGCGCCCGCGGAGCAATGGGAGTGAGGGGGGAAGGGGGATGTATGGTGCCTTGCTCAAGGGCACCACGGCAGGGCAGGAGGTGAACTGGGACCTCTCCAAGTAGAAGTCCACACTCCAAATGTAGGTCTGGCCGGGGACTTGAACCGGCGACCCTAACGGCTCACAGTCCAAGCCCCTACTGACTGCCATAGATTTAGTCACTAATTTTGCTCTCAAAGTGCACCAGATTGATGCATTTAACTTCAACATTTAAAAAAATATCTTCCCGGGGGAGCTTGCCCCCGGACCCCCCTAGAGGAGGTGAGGTCCACCACCTGCCCACACCCCCTGTTAAATTGTCTCACCCACATTGAGGATGCTTCCTACGCCCATGTTTTATTCCATGTGTCAAGTCAGGCAAATTGGGTCAAAATGTTATTGCATCAATGATCTGTTAACATTAAAATCACTAAATATATGCTGTAACTATTTTGCTCTCGGCAACTCAAAGGCTCAGGTAATGTGATTACTATATGAATAATTGTCCAAAATAACGTTGAATGCATAGGGTTTTTTGTTAAGTAACATACTTTCGTCGCCGGCCGGCCGATACATGCCGCGCATTAAGTGGGCCTGTCTGTCAATTAATCCCCGGGCCACTTTTTCCCCCAGTCCGCCCCTGCTGGGGACGTATCCATAGATTTAAATTAAATGGCTGTTTTCACGGCAAGGCTCTGCTCCTGAACTCACGGTGAACAAAGAGTAAATCGCGTAACATGTGAATGCAGCTTAACAGTGATTCATATATGTTTTTATTTAGTATCATGTGCTCATCATTTAGATTTTTTATGGGGAAAAATTGGCTGTAGAAATTAATGTGCTTTGATCACACCACTACTGGTATCGTTAATGACAGTGGTGAGCCGTGACTTTTATACCTAGGCCCTCTGACCCCCCACCTCGACATTTTTTTAAATAAAGAGTCACAACGTATACTTCAGCGGAATATCAAAACAACGGCCCGGGGTGCAAAACACATCAATGAAAGCAACCCTCTACCACACAAAACAACACCAGTAAATAACCCAATTTGTGTTCTTTTTAAATTGAAAAGGATATTGCATTGTGTTTGTTACTTTCGTTGCAGTTGTTTATATGTCTTAAGTGTAATTTGTAGGGCTGTCAGTCGATTAAAATAGTTGATCGCGATTAATCGCAAATTAATCGCACATTTTTTATCTGTTCTAAATGTACCTTAGAGGAATATTTTTTAAGTTTGTAATACTCTTATCAACATATGAGTGGACAAATATGCTTTATGCTAATGTTTATTATCATTTCAACAATGACAAATATTCTCATGAATATTAAACACAACAACCTCTGAACATTACAAATATTCGCCTCAATTCAACCTGGAACCTCTCTCATTCAATACAACTGGTGTGTGTGTGTGTGTGTGTGTGTGTGTGTGTGTGTGTGTGTGTGTGTGTGTGTGTGTGTGTGTGTGTGTGTGTGTGTGTGTGTGTGTGTGTGTGTGTGTGTGTGTGTGTGTGTGTGTGTGTGTGTGTGTGTGTGTGTGTGTGTGTGTGTGTGTGTGTGTGTGTGTGTGTGTGTGTGTGTGTGTGTGTGTGTGTGTGTGTGTGTGAGATGGATCGTTGGAGCTATGTGCAACTCAAGGCATATGCTCGAACGGGAGCTGCCTGGACGCTGCAATCATGTTGCGCACTATCCGTGCTGAGTGTGCTGACTTTTCGTACAATGTCCCACTGTCTGGCTTCCTGCATAAAGTCAAGTGCTCGGCGCAGTTGTGGCGAAATGTCGCTCCTCTGTTTTCATTTAAACAGCTCCTTATATCCGTTAGCGCAGCTAGCTAGCACCAGATGCTAACTGTTGTGGAAATAATTATCATAAGACGCCAATTAGTAACATACAGGACAAACCTCGATGTCTGTTTACCTTCTTTAAGGACACAGGCGGCTTAGCCAATAATGTTATTGTTCCCATTCTGTGACCGGTCAATACTGGGATACAGATGGTCTGTGTTGTGGGTACACTGGGACACTTCCTTCTCTGTATTTGTGGACTCCAAGGTAAAATCTTCGAGGTCATAAGTGTCCGAGGCAAGTAGCTCTGTGTTCCCACACTGTTTAGGCTATCTCCTCAAATATGTTGTTTACTCTCTGCCCCAAAGTAATCCCCACCACAGAGACAAAATAAATAAATCATATTGCCAGAAACTCAGATAACGACTTGTTGGAGGCAGTTGCAGCTATCATAAACATCAGACAGATAGAAGTGAAGAGGGAAAGGGAGCAAGAAATACATGACGCACACACAGAGCGAAACGCAGGTTTACAGGAAATGGCAGATCACAGGGGCGGAGGTGAGGCTTCTGGTTATTCAGGTGGCCAGTCTTCAGCAGAGACAGGGACAGTTCCAGAGCAAAGCCCCCCTCCCCCTTCTTCTTCTTCTCCTCCTCCTCCCCCTCCTCCTTCTCCTCCCCCTCCTCCTCCGCTCAGTTTAGAGCACACACCACGTCAATTCTGGAGAGCCTCTCTCTTGCCAGCCCATCTAACTGGTTTCGCAGAGAGTAAACAACATATTTGAGGAGATAGCCTAAACAGTGTGGGAACACAGAGCTACTTGCCTCGGACACTTATGACCTCGAAGATTTTACCTTGGAGTCCACAAATACAGAGAAGGAAGTGTCCCAGTGTACCCACAACACAGACCATCTGTATCCCAGTATTGACCGGTCACAGAATGGGAACAATAACATTATTGGCTAAGCCGCCTGTGTCCTTAAAGAAGGTAAACAGACATCGAGGTTTGTCCTGTATGTTACTAATTGGCACCTATTGAGTTAATTATTGACCAAATTATTATTAGACTAATGTTTTTAGGTTATCATAAATGATAAAAAGAGAGGACTGTTGTGGAAATAATTATCATAAGACGCCAATTAGTAACATACAGGACAAACCTCGATGTCTGTTTACCTTCTTTAAGGACACAGGCGGCTTAGCCAATAATGTTATTGTTCCCATTCTGTGACCGGTCAATACTGGGATACAGATGGTCTGTGTTGTGGGTACACTGGGACACTTCCTTCTCTGTATTTGTGGACTCCAAGGTAAAATCTTCGAGGTCATAAGTGTCCGAGGCAAGTAGCTCTGTGTTCCCACACTGTTTAGGCTATCTCCTCAAATATGTTGTTTACTCTCTGCGAAACCAGTTA